GGATCCCGGAACATGAGGGATGAGGACACAATGGGATCCCGGAACATGAGGGATGAGGACACAATGGGATCCCGGAACATGAGGGATGAGGACACAATGGGATCCCGGAACATGAGGGATGAGGACACAATGGGATCCCGGAACATGAGGGATGAGGTCACAACGGGATCCCTGAACATGAGGGATGAGGACACAATGGGATCCCGGAACATGAGGGATGAGGACACAATGGGATCCTGGAACATGAGGGATGAGGACACAATGGGATCCCGGAACATGAGGGATGAGGACACAATGGGACAGGAACCAAATTCCTGGCATTTGCCTTCAGCATCCAGGACAACAATGACAAGGCCGTGGTCACACTTTTTGGGGCTGCAGTTCCTCTGAGCTCCACAAGGTGGTGGTCTCACCTATACCCAGATAGGAAGTCTCTATGACACCTACCGGCAGGAAGTCTCTATGACAGGAAGTGATGTCACATATAAATAGGACATATTGGGTTAGATTTGCAGTTGAGGAAGTAGAGAGGAGACATTGCCGGAACTAGAAGCAGAGGAGGTAATAAGATATTATGTTATATTTACACACAGTAACCCTCCCCTTCATGTCCGTCCTCATCCTCCATCGAGGACGTACATATTATCCCCTTCAGGAAACCTTTAAACACAGACGGTGTGACCTTTTCACCTTAGCAGTCTCTTGTATTGGGGCGAGATTCGGGTAGTCCTGAAATTTGAGTCCAATTTCTGGGATTGATTAATTTTGGAGCTAACCCGTAATGCTCTGCCTTTGTCCCTCCTCAGCAGCTAATGATAGGTAAGGAGGTGGATAACCCCGCTGTTCACTATAAGCAGGGGTGGGAGATCAGCCATAACCCCGCCCCTCACTATAAGCGTGAGAGCAGCCATAACCCCGCCCCTCACTTTAAGCAGGGGTGGGTGATCAGCCATAACCCCGCCCTTCACATGTCGGTGTGTCTGGTGAGCGGACAGGGAGAGCTCCTTCATATGGATCCATCAGTGGAGTGATTTAGTGACGTGTGGTTGAGTTGTGTGTCGAATTGTCAATGGTCCACCCAACGCCGAGCCCCCCCCCGTACCCGGGCAAGGACGGGTGTAGGCTAGGAGCCGTCCACGCTCCAGCATAGAGATATCTCTACGATTAAGCCCCGGAAGCCTGGTGGCCTCCAGGTATGGAGTCTCCATGTGCTGGACGTCCCTTGTCTTGAATTAAATCTTCCATCATCAGACGGTTCATGGTGTGTGGCTTCTTGTTGTATGGTTGAGTTGTGTGTTGCAGTGGTGGCGCCATCTTTCTCCTCCCAGCGCAACGCTGATGTCCACTCTTCCTCCATCTCGTCTTCATCTTCTTTCTCCTCTTCCTCTGAAACTGTCTAACTGATCCGGATCATTCTCTGATATCAATGTTATCTGTCTACAGGGAGACCTTCATAGAGGACTGCACCAATGACGGAGGAGGACCGGAGTCACATGAACGAGAGGATACTAAACCTCACCCTGGAGATCATCTACCTGCTGACCGGAGAGGTGAGGAGGATTCTGGGAGGTCACATGACCTGACCGGAGAGGTGAGGAGGATTCTGGGAGGTCACATAATATCCTTGTTCTTTCAGCGTTTTCCTCTTCTGAAGTCTGGTGATCATGTGACTATCACAGTGCCCCCATGTGACTCCCTAGAACCCGAGAGACCCAACATGGAGAAGATTCTAGAAGTCACCAAGAAGATGATGGAGCTGCTGACGGGAGAGGTGAGCGGTGCCGGGGATTCTGGGACATGATCCAGGAACAGACAAGGGGCGTGTCTGGGTGGTGACGGGAGCGGTGGCGGGGATTCTGGGACATGATCCAGGAACAGACAAGGGGTGTGTCTGGGTGGTGACGGGAGAGGTGAGCGGTGCCGGGGATTCTGGGACATGATCCAGGAACAGACAAGGGGCGTGTCTGGGTGGTGACGGGAGAGGTGAGCGGTGCCGGGGATTCTGGGACATGATCCAGGAACAGACAAGGGGCGTGTCTGGGTGGTGACGGGAGAGGTGAGCGGTGCCGGGGATTCTGGGACATGATCCAGGAACAGACAAGGGGCGTGTCTGGGTGGTGACGGGAGAGGTGAGCGGTGCCGGGGATTCTGGGACATGATCCAGGAACAGACAAGGGGCGTGTCTGGGTGGTGACGGGAGAGGTGAGCGGTGCCGGGGATTCTGGGACATGATCCAGGAACAGACAAGGGGCGTGTCTGGGTGGTGACGGGAGAGGTGGGCGGTGCCGGGGATTCTGGGACATGATCCAGGAACAGACAAGGGGCGTGTCTGGGTGGTGACGGGATCATTGTGTGTGTCAGGTTCCTATAAGGTGTCAGGATGTCTCTGTCTATCTCTCCATGGAGGAGTGGGAGTATCTAGAAGGACACCGGGATCTCTACAAGGACGTGGTGATGGAGAATGCCCCGCCCCTCACATCACCGGGTAAGAGGAGAGAGCAGTACGGAGGCTCCGCCTACATCCCCCATCATCTGATACACACATAGAAACAATGTATTCAGTCAGTGTGTGTGTCTCCTACAGATGGATCCAGTAAGAGGAACCCACCAGAGAGATGTCCCCGCCCCCTGTATTCCCGGGATCCCACCCAGGAAGATCTCACCATCCCCCACCATGAGAGATGTCGCCGCCCTCTGTATTCCCGGGATCCCACCCAGGAAGATCTCACCATCCCCAACCATGAGAGATGTCCCCGCCCTCTGTATTCCTGGGATCCCACACAGGAAGATCTCACCATCCCCCACCATGATCAGGTAGATGATGAGCAATTACGGATAGTATCTTTGGGATCTGGACATTATCTACATTGTTACAATTTGTCATTTTATATATAGAGTGGAATCCTGAGTAATTTTAAAGTCCTTGTTAAAGAAGAGATCAAAGAGGAGGAGGAGTCAGACGTTCAGGAGAACACAGAGGAGTCATTCAGCTACAGGAACCCACCAGAGAGATGTCCCCATCCTCTGTATTCCCGGGATTCCACTCAGGAAGATCACGGAGACGATAATATTGACGTTAAAGAAGAGTGTAAAGAGGAAGATGAGAAATATGGTGTAATGGAGGAGATTTCAGGAGCACACAAGGATCACCCAGATGGATCCAGTAAGAGGAACCCACCAGAGAAATGTCCCCGCCCCCTGTATTCCCGGGATCCCACCCAGGAAGATCTCACCGTCCCCCACCATGAGAGATGTCCCCGCCCCCTGTATTCCCGGGACTCCACCCAGGAAGACTTCACCGTCCCCCACCATGATCAGGTAGATGGTGAACAATCACCGTTCGTTATGATTTATACAGAAGAATGTTTGTTATAATAAATATTTTATGACATATTTAGAGTGGAAGTCTCGGGGAGAACACAGTTGTTGTTAAAGAAGAGTATAAAGAAGAAGATGAGGACTATGGTGTCATGGCGGAATTTATACAAGGACTCACTGATCTCTCCAAGGACACTATGATGGAGTCTCCGAGTTGCAGGAACCCACCAGAGAGATGTCCCCGCCCTCTGTATTCCCGGGATCCCACCCAGGAAGATCACAACTACACACAAAGTTATCAGGTTGGTGGGACGGAACATCTAGAACATGAAAGTGACTCACAGAGATGACGTGTGGACTCTACAAGATGAGATCTTCTATGTGATGTCACATCATAAATACTTCTATGTCACAGATGAGACTTTCTGCCGTTCTGTTGGTTTAGGGTGAAGATCTGATGAAGATGAAAGTTGAGGGTGAAGTAGAAGAGACGTATGTGAGGGATGATCAGCGATATACGGAGGAGGCCGGGATGATGAGGACGTCCATAGAGGAGGCCACGCCTACAGAGATCAGCACAGGTGGGTCATATTATGTTCTTCTGTTATCTCTGCTCTATTCCTGCACACTGATTGGTCCAGAGGAGGGCGGAGCTGAGTGATATCATCCTGGGGTTGAGTTGGCAGTATTGGGTTTTCACTCCTAGTTCCAGAAGCCGAGGTCTATGGTCACTTGTTCTGTGGTGAAGGGTCTACAGGATCTAGAGGTGAACCTCTTGTTGATGGTGGCCAGCATGTGATCCGTAGTAGACGTGCGCCCGGGAAGCTCCGCTCCATAGAATATCCTGGCGCCCAGTTTCTGCTACTTACCTGTGTTCAGGTGTTGCTCTACGCCTCCTGAGTCGGAACTTATATTCGGCAGCGTTCTGAATGCGGCGGGAACAGGTACAGACCGACTCGATCGTCGGGAGGCAAGCCTCGCGGTGGCTCAGAGGCGGCCATCTTGGCTGTGCCGGCTGAATGCAGCAGGATGTCTGTGGGCACGCAGACGAGCGTCCCGGCCTCGCCGCATCAACTCTCTCCATCTAGCTCGGACATCCTAGCGGCCATTGCATCCTGCAAGGAGGCGCTCACCGGCAAGATCCATTCCCTATCGGCCGATGTGAGTTTCCTCTGCGCCATGACGCGGACAAATTTCCGGGCGAGGCGGAGGCCAGGATTTTCCCAGGTGGAAGAGACAGCGCGGTCGGACTCCGAGGAGCTCAAGAGGCTTCAACGGCAGTTACGAGGGCCCACAGGAGAAAGCGGTGGATGCCCAAAACCGGCTGCGCCGCGACAACGTCCGCGTGCTGGGCCTCCCTGAACGTGCGGAGGCCCAGACCTTCGCCGAGACCTTCCTGGCTACACTCCTTGACCTGCACGACTTGCCACCGACGTTCGTTTGTCGAGAGGGCGCATCGAGTTCCACCCATCCCGCCGAAACCGGGGGGCCCCTTACATGAGTATCGGCTGTACCCTTCCCCCAATGACAGCCCTGACTGTATGCACCGCTAGATAAGATCTCCTCCCTCAATGTGTCCTCGCCTGTCACCAGCGGCCGATACTCATGTAAGGGTCCCGGGCGGGCCCCCCGGGCCCCTTACATGAGTATCGGCTGTACCCTTCCCCCAATGACAGCCCTGACTGTATGCACCGCTAGATAAGATCTCCTCCCTCAATGTGTCCTCGCCTGTCACCAGCGGCCGATACTCATGTAAGGGTCCCGGGCGGGCCCCCAGGGCCCCTTACATGAGTATCGGCTGTACCCCCCCCCCCCCCGCCCCCCCAACCCCAGGGGATAGGGAGACGCCAAAAAAAAAAGCGGGGGGAATCCTGCCCCTGTCGCGGCAGAGAGCCGCGACAGGATCGAGAGGTGAGCGAACGCCGGTATGTGTTCCCGATCTCCTGAGCCCGACCTGTGACAGTCTCGTTGTCACCGGTCGGCTACAACTATGAGGTGAGTGACAAGCCCCTCCCCCCCCTTCATAGTTCTCCTTTAAGGGACTTAGAATTGGCTGGTCGGAGGAGAGAGTGGCGCTATACGCGGACGACCTGCTCCTGAATGACCCGGGACCCTCACTGCAGGGCGCCTTGGATGTTCCCAACGCATTTTCAGCTGAGAGTTAGTTGGCATGAATCCATATTGTTCCCCCACTGACGCTGCGGCTAGGTCTACGCCCCCACTCTCTGTTTGCCCGGGGGACCCGCACGGTCTCGAAACGTCGCTACGGAGACGCGTGTTATCTCGCTCAATAAACAGCGTTGACTTTTAATATCCACGGGGCGCGAGTGACTACTTTCATCTATCTGCATTTCACGGAGGCCTATCCGTTGTCACCACCGCACACCGCCCAGTTGGATTTGGGGTTTTGTCCGGTCAGGAGGATTAAGGTCTACACCCGGTTACGGTTGCTCAACTTTTCCCGGCTTGAATCCTTCAAATACCTGGGGGTGGTGATAGCCGGCTGGCCCCCGGGACTTCCTGGCACCGAACTTACTCCCGATCTTGGGAGGCACGGGGCGGACACTGAAGGCATGGCCGAATTTACCTCGCTCCCTATTGGGCAGGATCAATGGTAGTCAAAATGAAGCTTACTACCCAAATTACCGTAACGCAATTTCGTAATTGTCCCCGAATCCTATTTCCATCATCTGCACCAAGCAGTCTCCTCCTTCTTGCGGGGGCGCTAAACCCCCGCGGTATAAACCCGCGTCCCCAATGCCGCCCACTCCCCAGGGCGGTCTAGCGCTTTCCGGACTTCTGTAAATGTCTTCCGAGCTACCCAAAATGGTCGCGGCCCGCCGACGTCACCAACTCCTCGGTCGCGTTGGAGGCCGCAGTCCTGAACTCCGGTGGAGGCACCGACCGGCCTTCTATATAGAGGGCCGAAAAAGCCTCCCCTATCCTCTCTACCCCCTCCATGCGCACAACGATCAAAGTCCGGCAATAGTTTGATAGACTCAGACCAAACTGGCTTTATGCCACGCAGATCCACCGACATTAATTTGCGTTGCCTATTCACAAATTTACATGCGCCCCATCTCAACGATGGAACGAGGGTGGTGGTGTCTCTAGATATAGAAAAGGCCTTTGCCACGGTGGAATGGTCCTACCTATGGGCTGTACTGGACAAAATGGGATTCCCCTTGGAATTTACTCGATGGATTAAATTGCTGTATCACAATCCTATGGCCTCTATCAAACTGGGGAATAAATTGTCAGCTCCCTTCCCTATCCGCAGGGGTACACGGCAGGGCTGTTCGCTCTCGCCCACTCTCTTCGCCTTGGCGGAACCCATAGCTGAAGCTCTGAGAACATCCCCCTATATCAAGGGACTTAGAATTGGCTGGTTGGAGGAGAGAGTGGCGCTATATGCGGACGACCTGTTCCTGAATGACCCGAGACCCTCATTGCAGGGTGCCTTGGATGTTCTCAACGCATTTTCAGATGTGTCGGGTCTGAGAGTTAATTGGGACAAATCCATATTGTTCCCTATTGACGCTGCAGCTTGGTCTACACCCAGGACGGTTACTCAACTTTCCTGGGTTGAATACTTTAAATACCTGGGGGTGCTGATATCTGGCTCACCCCAGGACTTCCTGGCATCGAACTTACTCCCGATTTTGGGAGACATGAAGCAGAGACTGAAGGCATGGGCACATTTACCTCTGTCCCTATTAGGCAGGATCAATTTAGTAAAAATGAAGCTTCTACCCAAATTAACGTATATTTTTCGTAATTGTCCCATATGGATCCCAAAATCCCATTTCCATCAGCTGAACCAATTAGTCTCCTCCTTCTTGTGGGGCACTAAACCCCCAAGGTATAAACTCACGACCCTAATGCGACCCACTCTCCCGGGTGGACTAGCGCTCCTGGACTTCTATAAATATTTCCTAGCAACCCAAATGGTCACGGCCCACGGCCGACGTCACCAATTCCTCGGTTATGTTGGAAGCCGCAGTCCTGAACTCAGTGGAGGCACTAACTGGCCTTCTATATAGAGGGCCTAAAGCCCCCTACCCTCTTTCCCCCTCCATGCGCACAACCATCAAAGTATGGCGCACAGGAAACTCCTGGATCTCCAGGACGGCCCTGGATATCTCACCGTAAACCCCTTTGTGGAATAACCCCAACTTGCCCCACTTCCACACGGTCCGCGATCCCGCTTTTTGGGCAAAACGTGGTGTGAAACTGCTCTCGGATATTGTGGACTTCACCTGATCTCATTCCATGACGAAGGGATCAACTGGAGTCCCCGGCTGGGACGGAGGGGCTGAGGAAGCCCGCCTCCTGTTTTTATGATACCCTGCGAGCCCTGACTTCCTCCAAACCTGCTAACATGGCAGAGTAAGCGGAGGATGGGCGTCCCAGACATGGATGAGGAGGTCTGGGAGGAGGTCTGGGACAAACCCTTTAAACAATTGGTCGCAGTAAGGGATAGAATGGTGCAATTTAAAGGAGAACTCCGAGGTCAGGGCTTTCCCCCATAGTTCTCCTCAGGGTCGGAGGAGGGACACAAACTAGCGTCCTCCCGTCACCCTAAGCTCGGTATATAGGGAGCTACAGCTCGCGGTATACTGAGAGCGGATCACGATGTAGATGACGGGATCCGCCCAGCTGCGTGAGTGACAGATATCTAGAGGCAGAGCCCGCTGTACCCGCCCCCTCCCGCATCCGTTCCGCCAGTCAGATCGGAGAGGGGAATCCAGGCCCTCCCCCTGTCACGGCAGAGAGCCGTGACAGGATTGAGAAGTGAGTGAACGCCGGTATGTGTTCGCTCACCTCCCGATCTCCTGAGCCGACCTGTGACAGTCTCATTGTCACGGGTCGGCTAGAACTATGAGGTGAGTGACAAGCCCCTCCCCCCCTCATAGCTCTCCTTTAAGATACTGCATAGAGCCTATTTTACCCCCCACTGTTTACATCAAATGAATGCCTCCATCTCTCCGTCCTCTTGGAGGTGTGGGGCGGGTTTTTTGGGGGGAATGCCCCCTCATCAAGGTCGGCTTCATCTCAAGGGTCACCTCATTGCCGCTGACACCGTCGCCGAGAACGCGCGTTCTGGGCCTGGTGGAGGATGTAGCCCCGACCAGGTCGGAAACGCATGTTGGTAGGCCTCACCTTGTTCTATGCCCGCGAGGCCATGGCTATGCGCTGGTGGAGACCGGCCCCGCCGGAGATGTCCTTTTGGAAAAAATTGGTGAACGACAAGCTACCTCCTACACGTGTGCCAACAGGGGGTGACCATCAAATCTGGGACAGCTAGCTGGAGCGCCCCGACTCGGCAATAGACCCGGATACGCGAGCCTGAGGAGGGACTAATGCCCCCTCTTGAAGTGCACTGGGCACGCCTGGACCATGTCCGACCTAGGGGTCCAGGCGCCCCACTATCAAACTCACCCATCCACTGATCTCCTGCTACGGCCGAGCCCCCTGGCGGGTATATAGGAGGGTTGTCGCCGAGTTGGGAAATGTTTCCCCCACCTGTATTGTAGAACCAGAGGCCGGGATGATGAGGACATCCATAGGGGAGGACACGCCTACAGAGACCAGAACAGGTGGGTCATAATATGTTCTTCTGTTATCCGGGAGAGGGGCTGCCAGTTTATACTCTGATTCTCTTGTTTCTCAGAGGTCACATGACCTAGTGCCTAGACTTGTGGTCGGGTAAAGAGCATGCTCCTCCCAGTCCCCTCTGGCTACACCAGTGATGGTGATCTGGGAGGAGGCCCTTTGACTGAAGAGGGGAGGAGTCCCGGCTGGTTGGGACCTCCTCATAGAACATCTGCTCCCTCAGACCTCCTGATCCAGATGGAATGTTGAGTGAAGAGGGGAGGAGTCCCGGCTGGTTGGGGCCTCCTCATAGAACATCTGCTCCCTCAGACCTCCTGATCCAGATGGAATGTTGAGTGAAGAGGGGAGGAGTCCCGGCTGGTTGGGACCTCCTCATAGAACATCCGCTCCCTCAGACCTCCTGATCCAGATGGAATGTTGAGTGAAGTCATCTAACCCTCTCATATCTCTCCATCATGTGTTTCTATGTTTCCAGGACACGCCATGGAGGAACCCTCAAAGGATCCTCTGACTTTATCTCCAGGTTGTAAGATGGAAGATGAGGACATCACAGCAGATTGTGCGGGAGAAGAGACAATGAGCTCAGCTATGGATGGTGGACCTCACAGTGTGGATAGACCATGGAATCCCTCTGACTCTGAGCGACCTCGTCCTGTGGGGGATGGTGCCGGAATTCAGGAGGAGAAGACATTTTCCTGTCCTGAGTGTGGGAAATGTTTTAGCTCTGAATTCAGTCTTTCTGAACATGGGAAATCTCACACAGGTGAGAAGAAGTTTCCCTGCCCTGTATGCGGAAAGTGTTTTTCACAACGGGCCAATCTTTTCAGACACCATAGATTGCACGCGGCCGAGAAGCCCTATGCCTGCAATGATTGTAGAAAATGTTTTGCGCAGAAATCAGAACTGGCTGCGCATCAAATAACTCATACAGTGCAGAAGTCCTTTTCTTGTTCTGAGTGCGGGAAAAGTTTTCTTTATAAGTCCAAACTCATCATACATTACAGATCTCACACAGGGGAGAAGCCGTATTCCTGCCCTGAGTGCGGGAAACTGTTTTCACGTCTGAATCATCTTCACAGTCATCAGAGGATGCACACAGGGGAAAAGCCGTATAGCTGTCCCGAGTGCGGAAAACGTTTTTCACAGAAGTCCAAACATAAAGCACATCTGAAATTTCACACAGGTGAGGAGCTGCATTCTTGTTCTGAGTGCGGGAAACGGTTTCCTCTTAAATCACAACTCATCGTACATTTCAGATCTCACACGGGGGAGAAGCCGTATGCCTGTCCCAAGTGCAAGAAACGTTTTCCACGAACATCGGACCTTGTTATCCATCAGAAATTGCACACGGGGATGAAGCCTAATGCCTGTCATGAGTGTGGAAAATGTTTTTTACGAAAACAAGACCTTCTTAGGCATCAACGGTCTCACACAGGGGAAAGGCCATATTGTTGCTCTGAGTGCGGGAAATGTTACACACGCAAAGCAGACCTTGCTATACATCAGAGATGTCACACGGGGGAGAGGCCGTATTCCTGCCTTGATTGTGGAAAAAGTTTTTTACAAGTGGGCTATCTTTACAGGCATCAGATGTCTCACAGGGGGGAGAAGCCGTATTCTTGTCCTGACTGTGAAAAATGTTTTTCACATAAGTCCAGTCTTAAAGTACATCAAAGAAGCCACGTGAAAGAAAAGCAGTTTTCCTGCCATAAGTGCGGGATTGGCTTTTCACAGAGGACTGACCTTTGCAGACATCAGAGATTGCACAGAGATGAGAAGTCGTATGACTGCTCCAAGTGTGGGAAATGTTTTCCAGTGAAATCTGAACTTTACATACATCAAAAATCTCACAAAGGGAAGGAGCCATATTCCTGCCCTGAGTGCGGGAAACGTTTTGCATGGAACGCAGACCTTGTTGTACACCAAAGATCTCACACAGGGGAGAAGCCGTATTCCTGTCTCGAGTGCGGGAAATCTTTCTCACAGCGGGGCCATCTTTCCACTCATCAGAGGATTCACACCGGGGAGAAGCCGTATTCCTGTCCTGAGTGCGGGAAATGTTTTTCAAAGAAGTCATCTTTAAAAGCACATCATCAGAGAACTCACACAACCCCCCCTGGTGTATTAGTATCCTGAGTGCGGAAAATGTTCTGTATGAGTCATCAGAGATCGGTAAGGAGCGAGACAGAGACGGATTTTATGATGAAACAAATAAAGATGAAATGTTTCTATTCTTATAACGATGAGATTCTTTGTGTGTTGATTGACAAAAGTCGTCTTCAGATTTGGATTATTAAATCTTCTTTTCTTGTCCTTCATTTCTAAAGTTCATCTCCAGCCAACATTTCTTTAGTTTTGGATGGGGTGGAGAGGGAATAGAAGGGAAACCAGTGAGGCAGCGACAGGGTCATGGACAGCCAAGGCTCATTGATGGACGTGGGGAGGGAAGGCTCATTGATTGAGGTGGGGAGGGAAGGCTCATTGATGGACGTGGGGAGTGAAGGCTCATTGATGGACGTGGGGAGGGAAGGCTCATTGATGGACGTGGGGAGGGAAGGCTCATTGATGGACGTGGGGAGTGAAGGCTCATTGATGGATGGGGGGAGGGAAGGCTCATTGATGGACACGGGGAGGGAAGGCTCATTGATGGACATGGGGAGGGAAGTCTGGCCGTGTGGTCCGATCCAATAGAAGAGATACTGGAGATCAGATTGCTGATAAAGTTCATGGTTCTGGTTCTGATAGAAAGGTGTCTGAGCACGCAGAGTAACGCAGGTTGTTGTGTAGTCATAGACTGGTCAGGGGGCCCATGCAGACCCGTGTCCACCACCAAAAGTGCCTACAATGGTCATGTGACATCAGAACTGGAGCACGGAGCGATGGAAGAAGGTGGCCGGGTCTGATGTACATCATGTGGAAGGCCGGGTGTGTGTGTCACTTACCTGGGGAAGAGACGGGACCAGGATGTACTATGGGAAGAAGACAAGCCGGGGGAGGGGCAGTGTGGTGGGCAATGTTCTGCTGGGACACCTCGGGTCCGGCCATTCATGTGGATGTCACTCTGACACGGACCTAAACATTGACCCCGCCCCCCCCCTTCATGGACACGGTACACCCTGATGGCAGTGACCTCTCTCAGCAGGATAATGATCCCGGCCACACGGCACACATGGATGAAGAATGGTTTGAGGAATAACAACGAGTCTGAGGTGATGACTCCGCCTCCAAATTCTCCAGATCTCAGTCCAATCGATCATCTGTGGGATGTTCTGGAGAAACAAGTCCGATTCATGGAGGCCGATCAGCTTACAGGACTTAAAGGATCTGCTACTGACAGCTCGGTGCCAGATACCACAGCATACCTTCAGAGGTCTAGTGGAGTCCATGCCTGGATGGGTCAGGAGAAGGGGAACCTACTCAACATTAGGGGGGTCATCCAGATACCACCGCATACCTTCAGAGGTCTAGTGGAGTCCATGCCTGGATGGGTCAGGAGAAGGGGAACCTACTCAACATTAGGGGGGTCATCCAGATACCACCGCATACCTTCAGAGGTCTAGTGGAGTCCATGCCTGGATGGGTCAGGAGAAGGGGAACCTACTCAACATTAGGGGGGTCATCCAGATACCACCGCATACCTTCAGAGGTCTAGTGGAGTCCATGCCTGGATGGGTCAGGAGAAGGGGAACCTACTCAACATTAGGGGGGTCATCCAGATACCACCGCATACCTTCAGAGGTCTAGTGGAGTCCATGCCTGGATGGGTCAGGAGAAGGGGAACCTACTCAACATTAGGGGGGTCATCCAGATACCACCGCATACCTTCAGAGGTCTAGTGGAGTCCATGCCTGGACGGGTCAGGACAAGGAGGACCTACTCAATATTAGGCAGGTGGTCAGAATGTTATGATTGGTCAGGGTGGGTGAGACACCAGACTCCATGTGAGGTCCAAACCCAATTCCAGCTCCTCCAGAAGATGACGTTCCTCCCTGGTTCTCCTTCCCAGGATCAGCTCCACTCCTTCTGGGAATCTACCTCCAGCAAGGTCATGTGAGCCCCAACTCCGGCCTTACATAATAGTACATAAGGCCTACCTAGACAAGAGGCCTCAGAGGTCACAATCGATTGCACACACCTCCACCAGACAGGATCCCGGGGGGGGGTGGAGAGACACTCATAAGGTCAGCCCCGAATATTTACACCATCCCCCAGCATGCACCCCTGTCAGTGAACCTCCTAGTGATTGGTTGAGGAGACACACACACTCATAACACACCATTGTTGGATGTTCTCCTCTACTGCCTGGTCACACCCCCCAGCAACAGGCAGAAGCAAACGATGACACTGAGCTCGGGGGAGACCAAACGAGCACAGAACTATTAACCAGCTTAGACGGTCTACAAATGTAAAGAGTCGCCCCGCATCGGACAAGGTGGCTACACGCGTATCGGAGAGTTACCCGTGCGGTCCAGGATGAGGAAACTACTGCTATGTCTGCCGCGGACCTATGGTCAGGATGGAGGGGAAGGATCTGTTCAGTCTGTTGCAAAATGGCCGAAAACAGGAAGCGGGGACCGTGAAAATGAAAGGAAACCCCACATTTTGAGTTGTCACCAGGAATAGAGAGGAAACCTTCTATTAGGGACACTAGTTCTGGTGGAAACCGAGGCTTAACTTTATTCCCTGTTGTGGATAGGGAACAGGAAGTGAAGGGAAATCTCCCAGTTGGGCAAAGATGGGCGGCGTGTACGACCCATTGTAGTCAAAATTGTTTAAAACTCCTCCTCCCCGATGTAGAGGAGCTCGGACTTCCTCTTCACCATCTAATCCCTCCAAACTGGCATGGAGGTGTCGGGGGAATTATTTCAGCACAGCTTCCTTCTCCTGCTGCATGAGGATGAACAGGAGGTCACGTTATGTTGAGGAGGAGAGCGCATGGAGCATGGAGGGAGGGGACCACATACAGGAATTGCCAGTGGTGGACAATGAGGAGAAGGGTGGGGATGATGAAGAAGAGTGTAGAGATGATGATGGAGGGTATGGAGATGATGAGACCATACTCGGGTTCCTCAAGGTTCTAGAAGAGGAAAGTGAGGAGAGGCACCTGATTGGTGAGGCTCTACATGGCTGGACGACGTGATTGAGGAAGATCTACATAGCTGGACGACGTGATTGAGGAAGATCTACATGGCTGGACGACGTATGACGTGATTGAGGAAGATCTACATGGCTGGATGACGTGATTGAGGAAGATCTACATGGCTGGATGACGTGATTGAGGAAGATCTACATGGCTGGACGAGGTGATTGAGGAAGATCTACATGGCTGGAAGATGTGATTGAGGAAGATCTACATCGCTGGACGAGGTGATTGAGGAAGATCTACATGGCTGGACGAGGGGATTGAGGAAGATCTACATGGCTGGACGAGGGGATTGAGGAAGATCTACATGGCTGGACGAGGGGATTGAGGAAGATCTACATGGCTGGACGAGGGGATTGAGGAAGATCTACATGGCTGGACGAGGGGATTGAGGAAGATCTACATGGCTGGACGAGGGGATTGAGGAAGATCTACATGGCTGGACGAGGGGATTGAGGAAGATCTACATGGCTGGACGAGGGGATTGAGGAAGATCTACATGGCTGGACGAGGGGATTGAGGAAGATCTACATGGCTGGACGAGGGGATTGAGGAAGATCTACATGGCTGGACGAGGGGATTGAGGAAGATCTACATGGCTGGACGAGGGGATTGAGGAAGATCTACATGGCTGGACGAGGGGATTGAGGAAGATCTACATGGCTGGACGAGGGGATTGAGGAAGATCTACATGGCTGGACGAGGGGATTGAGGAAGATCTACATGGCTGGACGAGGGGATTGAGGAAGATCTACATGGCTGGACGAGGGGATTGAGGAAGATCTACATGGCTGGACGAGGGGATTGAGGAAGATCTACATGGCTGGACGAGGGGATTGAGGAAGATCTACATGGCTGGACGAGGGGATTGAGGAAGATCTACATGGCTGGACGAGGGGATTGAGGAAGATCTACATGGCTGGACGAGGGGATTGAGGAAGATCTACATGGCTGGACGAGGGGATTGAGGAAGATCTACATGGCTGGACGAGGGGATTGAGGAAGATCTACATGGCTGGACGAGGGGATTGAGGAAGATCTACATGGCTGGACGAGGGGATTGAGGAAGATCTACATGGCTGGACGAGGGGATTGAGGAAGATCTACATGGCTGGACGAGGGGATTGAGGAAGATCTACATGGCTGGACGAGGGGATTGAGGAAGATCTACATGGCTGGACGAGGGGATTGAGGAAGATCTACATGGCTGGACGAGGGGATTGAGGAAGATCTACATGGCTGGACGAGGGGATTGAGGAAGATCTACATGGCTGGACGAGGGGATTGAGGAAGATCTACATGGCTGGACGAGGGGATTGAGGAAGATCTACATGGCTGGACGAGGGGATTGAGGAAGATCTACATGGCTGGACGAGGGGATTGAGGAAGATCTACATGGCTGGACGAGGGGATTGAGGAAGATCTACATGGCTGGACGAGGGGATTGAGGAAGATCTACATGGCTGGACGAGGGGATTGAGGAAGATCTACATGGCTGGACGAGGGGATTGAGGAAGATCTACATGGCTGGATGACGTGATTGAGGAAGATCTACATGGCTGGGTGACTGATGGTGGATTTACATCATGGGACCTTTCTGAAGGACTTCAACCAGTGTGGTGAGTTAATTTACTATTATTTGGTGAATGATTAGGGGTAACAACAACTACCCCTTGCTGATTCATGAGGAGGGGTGGCATCTGTTTGTTGAGGGCAAGTG